CGTAATTTTATCAGTTTCATTCACTCACATTCTTTGTTATCATCCACTCAGTGATTTTTATCCCTGAAAGAAATTGTCGAAATTCCGCGATGAAATGGTGGAACAAAAAATGAAAAGTAATTCTTCACACGATTCTGTGAAATCAATTAGTCTTGGATGAAAATTTTCATTACCAAATTATAATTTTCTGTAACAACAAACTAAAGCCACAGAAATTCCAATCTCTAATATTTAGTTAGGGGTACCTTGGCTTATACTTTAAAAGGACATTGAAAAATTCGCGTACGCTATTTTTTTTTTTAAATTCATTATACCCGGCGATTAAACGCTATATGCAGTGTATTTTCCACACGTGCCATTTAAATATCAATTTTCACTCTTTTATTTACAATTAACTTTACCTCTCGTTATCTCGGCTGTTTCTTGGCTTATCAATCTTATCTGACTTTATGCAATTTTGTATTTTCCATTTTCTCCCGAGCTCTTCGTTGTTGGAGATAATTAACGAAACAGCCTCGTTGAATAGCAATTTTCACTCTGGCTTGTCCCGAAGAATATTAATAAAGGATGAAAATAAATAAATAAGGCGGAAAAATCAGACAAGACAGAATCGATGCTCTCGTGTATTTTAAATCGACTTGATTAATTAATTTCTTTATAATAATATATATAATGCATACTTTCGTGGACATGTAGACGCAGCTACGTTATCAAAATCACTCGATTCGTTATCTCGTTTCATTGATTAAACAAAAATAAAAAGAAGTGGTTAAACCTGTTCCGCGATACAGATAATTTTACGAGAAAAATCAACGAATGGCTTAAAATTTACGAGCGACGTAATCACAAATATTAAACTAATTAGTGAAATGAAACAAGATCGGCTAGACAGTTTGACTAGAAAAAAAATGGTAAAATAGTGGATTATGTTGTCAGGAACGAATCAATGAGATGTCCTGTGTCTTTCAAGTGTCCCTAAACATCTCGGAGATTTAAAATTATGTTTGATACTGAAGCATTGGTGCAGCTAGGTTTGGATGGTGCGCCGTGTTCATCCTAAGGGCTGAGATGCTTTTGTTGTACCATTCATCTTCTGCTGACATTCCTGAACAAACAACATTTATTGAAATATTTTTTTTTTATATTTCAGGCCCGTTTACTTCGAAAGCACATAGTTAATAATAATTTTGATTAATGCGAAGGCGATGAGTGATCAATTGATAATACATGGAATAATGAGAAATCGAAGACTTCGATAAATCATTGGACTCGATAATAAGGATGACGGATGGGGGAGGGAACGTCAATAAGCAATTTCTCGAATAGTCTTGATTCGATTTAAAAGCGATATGTCATCTTGGGCCGGAAATCGTGTAAGACGCTTGCCCGTCGAAGGAAATGGAGCGTCTTCAAGAGGCACCACCTCCTCGTCACCCGTTCACCATCACTCCAGGACTCGTCATTTCCGGTTTATCTTTTATGGTGTATCGCGTTGAAAATTTGTGATTGATTCGAGGGGAGATACAATTCTTT